CTCTGATCCCAGCACCTAGGCAGCAGAGGCAGGAGGAGCTCTGAGTTCCAGGCCAGCCATACATAGTGAGCCCATGTCATCATCCCCCAACACCCCAACAGTTCGAGGCCAGCTTGATATACATAGGAAATTCAAAATTCTGAGCCAAGTAGAACTATACAGTGGTACTGTCTGAAAAACAAACAAGAAGACTGGAGAGGTGCCTCAGTAAAGTTAGTTAACTGCTTGCTCTTCCAGAGGACCCCAGTTAGGTTCCCCGCAGCCTTATCAGGTGGCTCACAACGACTACCTGTGACTCCAGCTCTATGGGAATTAGACACTTCTAAGTTCAGTGTGTGGGCATGCCGTACTCGCACATGCACACATACAAATACATCTAAAGACCAAGCAACAAAAGTATATTAGAGCTGGAGACGTAGCTGAGTGGTGAAGCACTCAATACCAACATCAACTAATCAGAAAAGCACATCCAGGGTTTAAGTAGATGATTTAAGGAAAACACGATAATTATTAAACCAGTGGATGTGAAGGAGATGGGCTGTCGGTGACCACATTTGATCTCCTCCGTCCCATTACTATCTTGGAGTAAGAGAAGGTCCTGATGTCTGGAAAGAGGAGCCTCTGTAGACACAGAACATGGGGTTAGGCAGAGCTGTGTCTCAGGAATAGGACCTCACAGCAGCCTGGCTACCTACAGCCTTCTCCTTTGGAAATGGCAGCGTTGTCTGGCATGTGTTCTGTTTTCCACTGTCTTTGCTTTTGTAGCAATTAATTAATCTGGGCCTGCTTGCCACCTAATGTCCCTCCGGACACTTCATGGCTCTGCATGTCACCTTGCACTGGCAATAGACATTTTCTTGAGGTTCAGCATCAGGTCCTAGGGACCTACTCAGGGAAAATGGAGCCATATGGGACCAGAAAAATCCTGCTTTCCTTTTGAAAGCCCAGCTGTGGGCCTTTCTTCCTTTGTTCTCGCTTTTCACATAGTGAAAACACAGACACAGACAGACAGACACATACACACACCCCTTCCTTTTTCAGAGTCAGTGATTCACGATGAAACCCTGGCTGGCCTGTAACTCACTATGCAGACCAGCGCTGGGATTAAAAGCCTGTAGATACCCAGCTGCTATGATCACAGTCCTCAGCCCATGTTCTGAGACAGCCTTTGGAGGTTGTCTGGGGGGTGGGGGGAGGTCCAACCCCGGGGGAAGTCAAGAATAGAGCTAAGAGAAATAGACAATCCATACATGTTTTCACCAGCCTTTAAGTGAAACTTGGTGTGTTCTTCAATTAAGAATGAGGACAGCGTCCTGTAGATTTCCCAGTCCGTGTGACTGTCACACAGAAGTCAGGAATTTCATCTACCTCAACTAGAGGTGTGGCAGGGCACTTCAAAAGAATAGTTACACTCATGTTGGTGACTTCATATATTTTATTTATCTATTCTATGTATATGAGTACACTGTCTCTCTCTTCAGACACACCAGAAGAGGGCATCAGATCCCATTATAGATGGTTGTGAGCCATCATGCAGTTGCTGGGAATTGAACTCAAGACCTCTCTGGAAGAGCAGTCATGCTCTTAACCACTGAGCCATCTCTCCAGCCCAGTGACTTCATATTTTTTTATATTAATCCTATGCTAGATATTACAAGTTTAGAAGAATCATTGGTATTTACATGTTTAAAAAAATATTTTTCTGACATTTGCATTTCAGTTGTTTGTTTAGAAGGCATTGCCTTCTAAGACGTGGGTCTGAGATTATGACGGGATTGAGAGGAGGAGGCAGGAAGGTTAAGAGTCCAGGCAGCAGTAACTAGCTCAACTGTTAAGAGCACTTCTGCAAGAGGAAAAGGGTTTGATTCCCAACACCCCACTGGAAGCTCACAAGGGAATCAGCTGCTCTCTTCTGGCCTCCCAGAGCACTGCACACATATATTCACTCAAGCAAACACCCAAATACATTTTTTTTTAAAGATAAAAAAACTAAAAGACAGTTCAGGGTCATCCTTGGCTACACACCCAGTCCAAGGCCAGCCAGGGCTACATGAGATCATATGTATACACACACACACACACACACACACACACACACACACACACACGCATCCTAAGCTGCCAAGAAAAAGAGCCAGGCAGTTGCAGCACACACTGTTAATCCCAGCATTGGGGATACAGAGGCAGGCAGATCTTTGAGTTCAAGGTCAGCCTGGTCTTTTTCCCTCTCGCTCCAGCCCCGCTTGCTTTGGCCAAATAATTTTTTTAAAAAAATGGTGGCATATGCTCATAATCCAAGTATCGGGGAGACTGAGGCAAGTGGATTGCCTTAAGTTCAAAACCAGGTTGGACTGTATAGTGCATATCAGTCCACCAGGTCTACAGAATTTATCATCTCTTGAAACAAAACTCAAACAAAAAATACACTGGCCACTGCCCTGTTAGAACCTGCCCACCTTGCCCAAGGCCACAAAGACAAGGTCCATGGAGGAGGATGATCAGGAAGATCCAGGGGAGAGGAGGTGGGGGGTGTCTCAGCACAACTGTCTTCAACATACACAAATGAATCTTAAAGGGACAGTGCCTCCTGCAACACACATACAACCTTCCCCATTAGTGCAGATACAGAGCTCAGGGAGACCCTGGCCCCTAGGTTTACAGAAAAAGGATCTTTATGTATCTTGTCAGGGATTTATTTGATTTCATTTTTTGTTTTGTCTTTGATACAATGTAACCAAGGCTAATCTTCAACTCCTGATTCTGCAGTCTCTACTTCCAAAGTGCTGTGATTGTAGTACTCGTTGGTTTATTTGAGGTTTGTCCTGAGATCAAAAAGCAGGACAAGGAACAGGACCTGGAGTTTACACTTAAATCTCAAGATGAGCCTTCCTGCCATCAAAGGAGAGGAAGCCAGGAGACCAGCTACCTGACAGATGCTGTTGCAGGTGAAAGAGTCCAGAATGCATCGTTAAACCATTACAGTAGAGAAATCATTCTGAGCTGACAGCATTTGAGAACAGGCTCTTCTTATTATTTTTTATTTAATTTAATTACTTTATTTTTTTAGACAATGTCTTTCTATTGTAGCCCTTGCTGTCCTGGAACTCAATATACAGGCAAGGCTAGCCTTGAATTCACAGAGATCTGCCCTCCCATCGCTCTCCAAGTGCTGGAACTGAAGGCGGAGCCCAGCTGAGAACAGGATTTTACCCAAGCTCCTTCATGTGTCTTCCAAAACAGAATCTCCCAGAGTGTTCTCTGCTGGAGTTAGCCAGAAAAAGATTGAGTCTCAGACTCTTAACACCAGACAAACACGGCCACACCCACATGGATATTCTCACAAAAGAATTTACATGTCATCTTTCCTAAAAGTCATTTATTTGCTTGTAATTCATTCTAGTTAAGTCGACATACAATGGTGAAGTGGCTCGGAGAGCGAAGGTGGTTTCATCCCAAGGACCACATGGTGGAAAAAGAGAACGGAGTCCCACAAGTTGCCCTCCAACCTCCACTTGTGCACTGTGGTGTATACACACACACACACACACACACACACACACACACACACACACACACACACACAAAATATAATTAAAACCAAAAAAAAAATAAAGTTGATATTTGGGCTAAGCATGGTAGCCCATGCTTTTAATGCAAGCATTCAAGAGACAAGGGCAGGCAGCTCTCTCTGAGTCCCAGGTCAGTTCATATTATATACAAAATGAGCTCCAAGATTCTAACTGCCTCATACAATAAGCAGATAAAAATCTCTCGCCAGTCTGTTGTCAGGCTTGAATTTAAAATTTTTTCCCTGGGGTTTTGTTGTCAAGTTCTTACCACTGGCCTCCAAGTCAGGATCCCTTTGGCTCCCACATGCGGGACTTACAGGCTTAATTCACAGGCCTGCGGTGACAGACACACGTGAAATGTCCAGCAGAAGCTCACCATTCTGTACTCTGATTTCAAACAACAACAGTCATTGCCAGGACTGGCTGGATGGCTCAGCAGTTATTGCGTGCAGCCAATCCTGAGGACCTCGGTTTGATTCCCCCAGACCCACATATTAGGAGTGATAAGGACTCCTGCAAGTTGCCCTCTGACCTCGACATCATTCACACCATGGCATACAAGTTTGTGCACACATATATGTATGTGCACACATATACAGATACAAAGTGAGTAAAAAACTGCGATTAAACTTTTCTTTAATGTCACAGTCCTCCCAGATAGACATGGGAGGGTAGAGGTCCGTCAACAGGCATCCAGGGAAATGGAATGGGGGAGGGGGTTAGTGAAAGCACGATCATCAAAGCTGTGTGTCCCTCAAGGACTCTGAGGGCTCTGCTCCCTTCAGTCCCTGCCCAGGCTTCAGGGACAGCTACGGAGATAGTGCTTTCCTGGCAGGGGAAAGAAACCTCTAGAAGCTTTGGCATTAGCAAGTAAAGAAACACTTGCCTTGTCATTGGTCTGTGGCTTTTACTGTCTCAAGTCCTTGGCCAGAGCTAATCTCATGGTCTCACATTAAGAGAGCGGGCTGATTTTATAGATATATAAAATTGGGTTTCCTGGCATGAAAGATACATGAAGTTATTACTGTTGCTATTAGGAATTACAATCAACAGAAACTGCTGGTGCTTTGAGGGACAGGGTGTGGCCACGGACTTCTAGCAATTAGCACAAAGGCTTTCTCTGGAACTCTGGCATAGGCATGGGGTCTGGGAAGATGACAGCTCAGTACTCTTGGATATAACTGATCCAAACCAAACCTGAATCAGCTAAGTTCCATGCCTGTAACTCCAGCATTTAGGAAACAGGAGCAGGAGGATTATTGAAAGTCTGAGACCAACCTGGTCTATATAGTAATTACAGGCCAGCCAGGGCAACACAGCAAGATTCCATCTTTAAAAAAAAAAAAAAAAAAAAAGCGGGGGGAAGTAAAAATTGAAACATTTCCCCCCAACCCTGATGACCTGAGTTGTACCCCAGAGACCCACAAGGTGGGGGTGGGGTGGGAGGGAGGGGCCACAGGCTCCTGCGAGAGTCCTGATCCACTGCACACAGTGTATGATCTGATGTGGCTTCTGTGTCTTCCAGCATACCTGTGAGACAACACAAAGGACCTGAGGCCAGGGCAGTGGAAGCTTCTCGGGCCCACATGGAAATCTCCATGGGGAATTGGACGCTCTCCTACAGGCTCATGGACAAGCCAGTCAGATTCTACTAAACAACATAGGTTGCACCCCAATTTGCCCTTGAATACATAAACATACTCTAATTGGCTAAAGAGCTATATATAAGTTCCTGTAATAATAAAGTTAGATCTGTATTCTGATTCTGGTCTCAGGAGTCTGAATCCCAGGCACTGTCATAGACTTTGTTCATTTCCATTTACCCTCCACTTCCTGTTCCCACATCTTCTGACCCTCCACAGGGTGCTGACTGATTCCATTTTGATTTTTAGTCTGGTCTATTAGGCCTGGTGGAAGAGCCTAGCCTAAAACAGTGGCTACCACAAGACCTCCTATAATTTTACTGTGCATGTGTGAGTGTGTGTGTGTGTGTGTGTGTGTGTGTTGTGTTCCTGAGGATTGTATCCAGAGCCGCCTGTATGCTAGGCAAGTACTCTACCACTGAGTTCTATGCCAAGACTTTCATTTGCTTTTTAATTTTGAGAAAGGATTTCACTAAGACCTTGACATTGTCATCCTCCTGCCTCAGCCTCATGAGTAGCTGGGATTACATTATGGTGCCTAACTGGAACTTTGATTTTTTTATTTAATTGGAATAACATTAGCTAAACACCCAGGCACTTCACAAACACTGGTAAAGGTTTCCCATTGTGCATGCTTGGGAACATTAGTCAAGCAAAGGGGTGCCCATAACTAGAGTGAGAGGCGGACACAACAGTGTGGAGGCGCTAAGCATCCCTGGAGGCCAAACAGGGAGGTGTCAGTGAGGGAGTGCCTGAGTGCCAGAGCTCAGGAGAACAGACATCCACAAAGCACTGCGTGCAGCACAGATAACTGAAAGTCCTGAGAGGACAGTGCTTCCCTGGCTTGGGGCATCTTGTGTGTCATTGGTCCCAGATCTCCCTAGCTAGGGAGACATGGACTGTTCTTCCATCCTTAACTGCCCAGCCCCCATTTCTCCTTGAACAGTTTTTCACTGGGGCCCCTCCAGGTTCCTTTGAGCTGCCTAAGTCAGACAGGGTTTCTGATTTCCTCACGACTCCTCCACCTCAGCTCTGCCTTTATCTTTCCAGAATCTTTCTCAACATGTAGCCTGACTCCCAGCTTTGGGAGCCTCAATCACAAGGGCAAAATCTCAGAATAAGGTGTAGAGTTAAGAAAAAAAAAACCAGAAGCCGGGTGGTGGTGGCGCACGTCTTTAGTCCCAGCACTTGGGAGGCAGAGGCAGGAGGATTTCTGAGTTCGAGGCCAGCCTGATCTATAGAGTGAGTTCCAGGACAGCCAGGACTACACAGAGAAACCCTGTCTTGAAAAAACAAAACAAAAAAAAAAAAAAGAAAGAAAGAAAAAGAAAGATAAAAGAAAACAACCCAGAAAGGGAATAAAATCATCAGCTAGCTCCCCAGCCATAGGCTTCCCTGAGCCTCAGACACTGTACCTAAAGGTGCGGCACCCAGGAGAAGGCTGAGCACAGGTTCCACTTCAGCATCAGAGAGGAGGCAGAATGGTGGCCTTGGTAGGAATAAACAGACTGAAAACAAGTTGGCTGGTATTTTCAGTTGTGAAGGAGTCCTCCCAATACTTCGGACACAAACATGCACAGTTGATACAGTAGAGATTAGCTTTCCCCCCACCCCCACCCTGTGGGTTGCAGCCCTCCCTCCAGGCCTCCTTCTAAGCTCTTTGGGGGTTGGCTCCCAAGAGTGGCAAGTTTACAGGGAGTTTTCTGTCAACCTGGGGCACCCAGATTTGCGTCTATGAACTCACCTTGGGCCTTGTTCTGCCTCCTTTTCCCTCTGGGTATAGCTAACAGCTTCTCCACCAAGCCTGTGTATGGTCCTCTGGGTCCAGCCTCCCTCCTTTTCCTCCCTCTTGCTCCCTGCCCTCAGTGTCTATTCATTCTAGAGTTAAACCCCAGCCTTGTGGACCTCTTTCATCCCAGTGGGTGGTCCAACTCCAGAGGAACTGAGGGGTCCCTAGATTCCATTGCCCCAACAACTTGGCATTAAGTAACTCCCTCAGGGCCGGTGGTGGTGGCGCATGCCTTTAATCCCAGCATTTGGGAGGCAGAGGCAGGTAGATTTCTGAGTTCGAGGCCAGCCTGGTCTACAGAGTGAGTTCCAGGACAGCCAGGGCTACACAGAGAAACCCTGTCTC